ACGATATATTATATATATATATATATATATATATATATAATTCGGATTACTCTGTATCCGTATAAAAAGCCGAAGGCGCAGAGCGGAAGTGGAAAGGAGACCAAATGGACGAGACCGACAGGCGGGCAGAGCTGAGTGATTTCCAGCGCTTGAAGATGAGTAGACGGTTGTGGGTGCAGCATGCAAGGACGGTCTTATGGCCAGTTGATCCCGCGTACTCATTCCGAGGGCAAACGGTGAGGTTTAGTTCAAACTTATAACACTCACTCATGTGTGTCGGCTGTGGGGTTGTATGGGTTTGAGATAATTGGCTCGTATGCATGGGCAAGAACTTTAAATACAAGAAAACAATATCCGTGCTCGTTGGCGAGATATGCGTTCGTGTGGCGTAGTATGCATTGATCCACCAAGATACTTTATGTACACAGTTGAATGTGGTAGATCGATCAAGATACTCTATGTACACGGTTGAATGTGGTACTGCATACTTTTGTATGTGTTTGTGTATGTGTATATTTCAGATATGTCACTACTCTTCTCTGGGTTTTTTCACCATGGGCACGTATCCAGAACACGTGGCATACATGTGCGGAATAGTTGCATGATCAGATCGGTATCACTCTATATACTGTGCATGAACATTTATATACATATATATCTACAGGCCCGTAGCAATGAGATGAATGACGTCACTGATCTCAACTGGTGGGTGACCCGGTTGTATAGAAAAGTGCGAAAGACTCAGGCTGACCTCTATATGAGAGGCATCGCACGAGGGATTGCCATGCACCACAGGTATTACTACACTCAACGACTCATACTATATCACTGATGAAAGTACTTGTTTATAGGTGTGTGCATACATAAATGTTTTATAGGATGTATATACATTTTCTATGAGTGTGTGTACGCTCTTGAAGTTTAACTCCCTATATAGAGATCCATAATTTCCCATATTGTGATTCTCTATTGATATCCATCCGTGTCGTCCTTTGAGTCCATAAAATGTATCATTGCAGTTTTCGGGTAGTTGAAGATGTCATTTGCGCCATGTTTTATGTTTAAGCGATGAGTCGCAATACTATTGGAAGTTAGATACGATGACGGAGCAGACCTATGTATGTAATACATAGGACGATCGACAGATTGTACCTTCCTTTCCACACAAGACATTTTTTATGTTCCTATAGTACCTCGTCAATTACAGTTGACTGTAGTTATTACGTATTGGGCCAACAATTGGACTCCAATTATCTACTGCGCCATGCTTTTCTTGATACTTTTTGAAGGCATACCATTTTTATCATCGCGTTGTCACTTCACTCGTACCCATTCTTGCAATCTAATTAAATTTTTACCCAATTTCAAGCGGTCTGAATAAGGCCTACCGAGATATGGTGGAAGCGTTCATACGCAGCGGCATCATCACCGTTGTCATAGCAACAAAAGTATGTTCCTATATGTTGGAGCAGCTAGCTTTGCAATGATATCCAAAACCTAGTCAGCGTAGAGTACTGAACATTTGCCCTGTTCGTTTCATGTGCATCTCACGGACAGGCTGTGTGTCTATACTATGATGCACACAGTATTCTGAAAAAGCAAGACGTTTTCGAATGACCCCTTGTAAGGCCTCTGACTATTTCCGTTTTCTCATTCGCTATCTAAGCTTTCCTAGCGGTTAGATATAGTACTGTCAGTCGTTGGGTGCACAAAATGATAGTGCTTTGGATCCTTAGTCATTATGCGCTAATTATGGCATTCTTTCTGGACCCGCTTTCACGTCATAGAGTCTTGCCGTGGGTGTGAACTTTCCTATCCGCACGTCTGTCTTCCTGGATTCTGGCAGATACATGGACTCTACATCTTTCAAGCAGATGTGTGGTAGAGCCGGTCGTCGAGGGTTTGATGACTGTGGATATGTGGTGACCATTGGTCTGCATCTGGCACACTTGGCTACACTTGTGATCGCACCGGCACAGAAACTCAACATACCACATGGCCTGGACGTGAACTCGCTGCTGCGGATAATGATCATGCGTCAGGGCAAGCCCCTGGGTACAAAGGTAGGTAGGCTCGATGTGAGAGTTGTGGGTCTGAGACATGGCCCAAAACATTGGAAATTTACGTATTTAATTTAATGAGAACCTTTGTAATTATGCACTGGAAACACAACGCTTGACCACGCCATACATGTGGCTATAGCCATATCGTATTCGATGTGAACTTTCAGAATTTTTGCACTGGCAAGGCGTGACAGCGCCACTTTAATGACTATAACCGGTATATCTCTGACCCACCATCATCCTGGGACGTCTAATCAGTCTTTGCAGAAGTCTATCGATACGGCTACAGAGAACTCTTCATACGTTCAGAACGTGGTCAAACGGTGGATGCTCGTGCCCCAGCAATCGACCGTTTCTTTAACAACAACAGGTGCAATGTGGGGGTATCATTTCTTCCATCAGTTATTGTACCGGCTAAAACTAGTAGACGGATACTCGAATCCGATTGGTCTAGCCGGTTTGGTATCGCATTGCGGTGAACACTATCCCGCCAACCTGGCCTTCGCATACATGCTCCTTACCGGGTCTTTGTCCAGTGTTTTGGTAGTGGACAATAAGCCAGGAGCGATTAGCTCACCAACAAGCAACAACGAGCGGCTGCGTGCTCTCAGTCTGGTGTACGTGAGTGTTATGAGTCACACTATGAAATGGCACGACCACGGAGAGACCGACAGGACTGTCGCAGCATACACATTGCCTCAGGTGCCACCGAACGTACAGGAGGGACTGGCGCAGTACAATAGACTAGTGCACTCTACATTCAGGGATTGCGAGCGGGTCTTTGGGACGTCCGGGGCCGACATGTACGGACCCTACCTTCCGGTTATGCCCACCACGCAAAACTATAGAAATGGCTACTTGTATTTGTTTATGAATGGCACACAGTATGGAACAGTAGTGGACCACTGTCAGATGACAGACAAGTCATTGTACGCACGACTGACCAGAGAGCTTTTGTTCATGCGCAAGGTCACCACTTCGTTGAGTTTATGTTTGGATGATACCGACCCTATTGTCGCGGACATGAAGGTTCTCACGCATGCATTCCAGGCCAATTACGATGCCATTGAATATTAGACGGTACAATCCAGAGCTTCACAGAGAACTCAGAACACTCATGCGGCTGCCAGTATATGTTTTCAATTTTCATACAGCCGCATGTACGTGCTGAATGCAAGATATTCAAAAGACGAAGTAATACAGCTGTAAGTTCAAGCACTGTACATGCGATGCAATAGCGTAAGGTGCCCCACTGCACATGTACAGTCGCCAGCGATGTGTTCCAGGTAACCTAAACAACAATCTACTCCACAAACGTTCATCAAACTTTCCCTCCGATGTGTAACAATTGATGCATCGTAAACTGTAAACACTGAAGGGACCGGAATAAACAATGCATACGAGTAAAATGATTGGGCAGAGATCAGCAACGAAAAAAAGCAAATTAAGTGCACAAACGGTACGCTTGGGATCAGGTTGTATGAGCGAATAGCAGATATCCGTGTTGTATTCAGGTTGAATTCATTAGCTACTACACTACAGTGGAACTGTCCTCTTCGTACCAACGGCAATCAGCAAACAACCCAGCAAACCCGTGGCTTGTTGTTGCCACAGTGAGATCGTGGGCGAGGTAAAGTAGGAAGACATTGTCGCTTGCAGGAAGAATATGATGCAAACGATGCCTGTAGGAAGAACGTGTTAATAAGATTCGTGCAGATGAGATACAAAGTGAAACAACTTAGTGCATTAGATCACCATCAGACTTGACGCACGCAGGTCTAAATATAGCATGGATCAACTGATACAAACCATAACCGCAGTAAAAGCCAATAGCGGAATTTAGAGCAGAGACCAAGTTTGCTGCACATAATAGCTCTACACTGACCAGATACCGAGCGACACACTACATTGAAGCAGAACAGCTCCTGAGCAAGGCTGGATATTCAGATACGTGCTGCACGGTTGAGAGCCAGAAACAGTAACGCAAACATTCGCATGCGTCATACAGATGTATAACAAACTCAGCGTGGTATAATCGAAAGATGAATTGATCAGCGTCACCACACACCGTGATGAGTGACTGGCTCTACTCAATCTGACACGAATATAAATAAAATGTACTGGAAAGAAAGACATGGATACACTAAAATATGCACCAGCAATCCTCCAAAACTTACCCAATCCATTGACCACCCCCGCCACATTTGGGCAGAGCAGGCAAGCGGTAAGAGCGCCGTACGTGCAGATGTCAAACCAATGCTCCTCTACAAACGCTGGCACTAGTCCAGCTGGTGCCATGTTCATAGAATGACCCCATACGATGAACGAGTAACAACACAAACCATAGCCGACTTTCTTAATCTGTAGTGTGGGTGAGGTGAAGTTTGGTGACGTGAAATTAATGTTAATACCATATGGATCTCAATCTCAACAGATGTATTCAAGTGTTGCATTTATAGCAATTGC